TGGTTATTTGTTTGTTTGTGTGTCCGAGGAAAAGGGAAATGGGGAAATTAGACCATGGTTACTTGTTTGTTCTTTAATTTTTGGGTATGGATATCCTGACATGACAGATCAGGATATTTATTTGTTTGTTCATTTGTTTTATTTATTTGTTTGTACATTTGTGTTTCTTAAGACAACAGATGTGGGGGATCAGACCACAAGGAAGGATAATTGTCATTTTAATGTAAATGTTTTGTGGCCCCCATTGAGACATCAGAGTGAAATAAAAGTAGTAAGACCTACTTGGGGTACCTTTGAGCTCAATGAAATAACTTCCTAAAGTGGGAATGAAATATATGTCTTCTGCTTAAGGGAAGACCCGGTTCAGCGATCCTAGAGAATATAGATTAACTTTTTCAAAATACTGAATTTTTTTTTGGACGGAAAATCATCCTTCGACATCTGTTCTATTGCGTCACAATGACGAAACTGTTGAAAAAACACTCTAACTGAGCTAACAGGGTCTTTGAAAAGTGCATATTGCACTAAAAAACCTGTTAAAAATTCCTGTTTTTTCTGTTCTCCTCAAAATCTTCTTTTTGACATATGTGACCTCCTTGGTACAAGGAGCTTTCAAAAGCTAGTGAAGCTAGAAGCTTCGAATTTGGCATACAAGTGCTTTAAGACCTATTCTGGGGATGCATGTGAGGAAATAGTGACACATCAGTAACTTGTGGAGATATTCAAATTTTATACTCAATATATTCAAACATATACCCCAAAGTTCCGTCAACTGACTTTCAGGGGTCCATTGACTTTGGGCTCACTTTTTTATTTTCAAAGAGAGGTCAAAATCCTTACAAAATCCACAGTCCATATAGGTTTGCACTTGTGAGCCAAATTTTTTGTTTCAATATTTTCTGTGAAATTCATCTACACTGAGAAACTTGTTTGACAATCCAAGATGGCCACCACAGAGATCCATTTTTCAGAAAAAATCAACAAATTCACCCGTAATACATCTTATTTACCTATGAACTTCTTACAAAATTACATAAAAGTGAATAAAAGTCATTTGTTTAGAATTTTTTTCCAGGAATGTACGTCTTCCCTTAACTCACTGATGCTGTATCTCGAAACATTCTCGGGACTGGCCAGTTACCCTCTGACGCCAGATCCAGTGACCCCCACGGGACCAGCTTTATAATTTTTCCACCTTTTCGCAATACCCAGAGCGCCTCGGGAATCATCGTTAGCGCTAGTGCATCTATTTCTTTTGTTTCGTGCGAAGTTTTGAGGATCTAGGGGCAGAACTTTTTTAGTACGACCTTTTAGGGGATGTTACCCAGGATAGCTTACAAACGTCAGTTCTAGGGAAAATGGCTGCCCCCATGCAAACTTCGAAAGAACGTATACGCAGCAAACCTAGATGTAACATCGTTTTTTATGTTTTCAATGAGTGAGTCTAGTTCGTCAGAAAGTGAACTTAGCGATCCTAATGATCCAGAATTTGTGCCTAATAGGCATAAAAGGCCTGACAGGGATATTTCTGTTGGTAAAGGTGTAAGTAGATCTGGTGTGAGTAAAAGGAAGGGGAAAGCTAAAAAAATTGAGAAAACCAAAAATCATGTGCTTTTCAAAAATTCATTTTTAGAAAAATATAAAAGATACAGCATTCAAACATGTTTTACTCCAAAGAACACAAATGTTTCTTACTTATTTGAAAAGATCAGAGCAATTGAACAATTCTGAGTAAAGTTATGACTTTTTAAAATGCCCCAAAAAACCTCAGTCTTCAGGGGTTGCGCGCCTCGCGAGACCTCAATCTTCAGTGAGTTAAGACAGTAAGCAACCTAACCACAACACCATAGACACCAGTCTAGTCGGGAAATGAAAAAAGAAAGACCACCACCTACCTTATTGAACTGAGCCCAAGTCACTTTACATGTCGTCGGGTCCTTTGCACCTGAGAGAAATGAGAAAAACAAAACAGGTGTAGTTTTCAAAACCTAAAAAAAGGCAGCTGAAGGCTTTAATAAATTTTTTTAAACCCTAGACAGTGGGCATCGGCCAACTATCCCCCCCCCCCCCAATCTCCTCCAAACTCTTCACACACAATAATTTTCTGTATTCAGTATTCATCCTCAATAGTTACCTATGGTAAGGGAAACAAAAGGTAAGGGATGTCAAGAAAGAAGTCCAAACGGGGAATCAGGCTTTCTCTGCTCACCTCTCTAGTCTCAACAGCACAAAGTCTGCTTTGACTATCAAAGTAACCTGGAAATAGCAGTTCACAAGAGAGTGACAAACATATAAAAGAAGTAGAAGAAAAATGACATTAGTAAGGATGAGGAAAGAAAAGGCAGCAGTTTCCCCTATGTTGTTCCGGCACAGTATGAGCATGACATTGATAAATCAGCCCATTTACAATTCTACTGTGCCTAAGAATAGTCAGTGGCACTGCCCTGGGGGGGTATTGATTATTAATAAATACTGACAGACAGATAAAATATATAAACAGACAGTATACAGATAGACAGACAGTATACAGATAGACAGACATATAGACAAATATACAGACGGACAGATAGACAGATTGACAAAGACAGATAGCAAAACAAATAAACAAAAAGATAAACAGACTACCAACAGCTAGACAGACAGACAGACACACAGTCAGATGTTCCAAAGTGTGTTCAAACATTTTTTTGAAAATGTAGGTGTTTTAATGCCCCTATCGACACAATTTATATCATTTAGGAGGCGTCAATGTGTGTATGACTCACCAAAGAGCTTGGATGCTATGTAGGTCAGATTGGTATCGCTCAGCCCTTTTCCCGTCTGTGACATAAACTTCATGGACAACTGGTCTCCCAGCATCATCCAATCCACGTGGTCGGGGACTGTGAATGGGACGCGACCCTGTCAGAACAAATAATGACCACATTAATAATAACAAAAAGAATAATTATTAATTATAATTTCAAAAAAAATAATGAAGGTGATTTTCCGTCTCCATCAACACAACTTAGATCATTCGCAATGTGGGCTTTCCACCCTGTCAGTCAGGGCCAGCCCTGGCTGAGAGGGATAAAAACATCCCAGCAGAAAGACAGATACCAGAGAAAAATTTCTCCCAACTTGGAAACCAAACTCAGGTTTTCTGCTTGTGACAATGAAGCACCGAAATGCTACACCACAGACGCATACTGCATGCTTCCCAGGACGCCAAAAATGTTTCTGAGAGTTGTTAGGTCTGTTGCAGTGATAATATAGATTGCTAAGCACATACAGCTTTCTGTAGAGAGCGGATAACAAATATAATTGCAATTATATAGCTGCCAACTTTTCAAAACCAAAATACAGACTCTACCCATGCGGCTGGCCATGTGGGTATTGGACAAATACAGCAAATTATTCTTAACTGGACATAAAAGGTGTTGGACCAAAGAATAAAAAATTTGATTAAAATTGCCAAACGAGAAAAAAAAAAAAGCCAGTTTCTTCAATTTCATTATTTTGATGAGTCCCCACCTCTTCACACAGACTTTTCTACATTCAATAAATTCAAGCTATTAAAAGCAGACCTGCAACGTTAATGTCAGACAAGTTTAGTACAGATATCTCCATTTGACTTATGGGTTCCGTTCTCATTATCATTTGCAAATCCGGCCTTGAAAGTTCAAAATTGTTTCATAAGAATCGGTAACTCCGCAAGGAGCAATACTTGAAAAAAACGAAAAAAAACCATACCTATGAACTTAGATCCCCAGAAACTTACTCAATACGTTTTTAACATACTGTTTGGCAGCTGTGCAATGATTATTATTGCATCACCATTATTATTACTATTATTATTATCATCATCAATATTATTCTTATTATCATTTAATATTACTACTATTATTTCAATCATCTTAACTATTATCATTATCATTAGTATTATCATTCCTATTGTTTTCATAATTATAATTATTTTTATGATCATTGTCATTATTACTATCATTACTATTATTCTCCTGATCATTTTTACTAGTCAAACTTGCTTAAACAGCTACCTGCACAAGACAATCACCTATCCCTGACAGGCAGGGTTGGAAACCCGCCTCCTGAATTATATAAATTACGTGGCGGCGGAAATAACACCTACAGTAAAAAAAAATGTCAATTCAACTCACAGGCTCGGCAAAAGCGTTGTCCCACAGAACGGTGGCGGTGGCGTTGCACTCCTGGTTTCCGTGGACGGTCACCACAACAGGCAGGGACAGGGTCTGAGGATACAGTGTAGGGGAAACCAGTTTAGTTGTAGAAAGAGTTTACGGCACTTGCAACACAATAACAGCTGAAGGTAAAAAGGTGTTACACGAGAGTAACAAACACAAAAATGAAGGAGGACAGATCAGGATGGCAGATGTTTGATTGATGGGAAAGAAGGAGCAAACCACACAACAACACCCGCCAACCACCCATGTACAGGGAAACATAGTACAGTCCAACCAACCTGCTCTATTGACCATCTGTCCAAGACAGTCACCTGTACAGATGACCACTTTCTACTCCCCACAACCTGCTTTAAAAACCACCTGTCGAAACGGCCATTCTCCATATCAGCGCCCATGCATTCCCCACCACCCCTCCCCTCCCCACATCATGACACTGTCCAAGACATCCACTGGTCTAAGACAATCACTTCTATGAAATAACCCCCCTGTGTTTCTTCTACATTATAATGACAATGTCCAAGACATCCCGCTGTCCACCTAACCACTTTTCTCCTAGACAATGAGAGGCAGTCTTAGGTAATTGTTTATTTGGGGTTTTTTGGAGTTTTTAAAATTCTGCACATCCACACGATAACTGTCAATTAATGCAGGGAAAGTCTTAAGATTTAATAAGGGTTTTACAGCATTTGCAACACTAGTAGGTCATGTAAGTGCCGAAGATTAGTGTTGCAAGAGAGTAACAAACATTAAAAAATGGAGGAGAGATATGGACAATAGGTGTTTGATAAGAAAGAAGGAGCAAACCACACCAGAGCACCCGCCACCCACTCTCTCAACCTGCTTTAACAACCATCCATGCAAGACAATCACCTGTACAAACTGCCATTTCCCCCAACCTGCTCTAATGACCATCTGTACTAGACAATCACTTGTATTATGGTCACAAAGGGTTTTCTTTACATAAAGAAAGCATATCTGTACCATAACTTTCAATCAGTGCAGGGAAATTCTAAATATTTAGTTAGTTTTTTTTTGGCACTTGCAACACAAGTATGTCAAATAGGTGTCGAAGATTAGCACTTTTACTAAAGAGTAACAAACAAAGAAAAGAAGGAGAGATAAGGATGACAGATGTTTGATAGGCAAGAAGGAGCAAACCACACCAGAGCACACGTCAACCACTCAAGATAGACATAAGTGGCGTCATTTTTTAAGACAAGCACTGCCTATGCCAAAGTCCAGCATCCCCCCACACACAAACTCTCACACACTCTCTCTCTATCACACACACACACACTTACACACTCCATACCTGCCAACATTGCCTTGGCTAAAATCTGCAGTTGACACAAATTTTTGTCCAAAAATCTGTAGTTGACCCATAAAATCTGTAGTAGCCTATATTACCACTGGCCGCATACTTAAGTGGGGACCCTAATCAATATTTTGACCCACATCAAATATACATTAGTGTGTTTGTGACAAATGAAGAAAATGACAAAGAACAAAAATATATATAGTAGCAATGCCAATGAAAAATTAAATTTTTAATCAGAATTGCATAAGATATGAAAGAAGAGTAAATTCTAAGAAATGTGGATTTATATAAAATAGTTATTGGGATTTTTGGTTGCAAAATTTTGGGGGATTTCATAATATAGGAAAATATTACCAAAAAGTGGGACATTTCTAGATGTATTTTGAGGGAAAACTGTTCATAAAGTCAGTATATGAATGAAACATGGCATCTTCACGTAATTTTTAGTGCAAAATCTAGTTCTGCTATAACTTTTTCAATGTTGAAATTACTCTGGATCTTTAAGACTAATATTTGTATGAAAATAACATGTTGAATTGCACGACATCGTTTGAACTGCGACCAATCACCCCTTCTACAACTTAGCAAAGGGGTAGGCCAATCGAGAAAACCCGAAATGAAGTCATTAGTGACCTGTTTAGCTTTTAGGCAGTCAATCACATGCCGCCTAGCGATCATCCACCTCTTGCATGCCGACAACTCGCGTGTTGGGTCCATGATCCAGTTTCCAGCTGTAGCGTTTTATCAATAGATGGGTGGTGATTTTAAGTTTGTACATAAAATGTACAACACACAGAGATCTGAAATTTCACAGCAATTAAGAAGACATGTGGGGTGCCTGTCGGTGGCTTATCTCTCAAAATCAGTGCATCGACAGTTTGACCAAAAAGTCAGTAATATACCAATTTTTTCTGTAGGGTTGGCAGGTATGACACTCTCTCTCTCTCTCTCTCTCTCTGAGTCACATACACATGCACACAAACACACGCTCACACACACACATTCACACACTCTCTCTCTTTCTGTTACACACACACACACATTGTCACTCACCCAGACTTGAAAGACCAACTCATTTCCACCAACACTGAATTCTGATTGGAACAAGATACAGAACTTTTCCTCTGTTACTGCCTGAGGAGATATAATAATAATAATAATAATAATAGTAAAAAAAAAACAAATAATAATAATAAGAGTAGTAATAAAAGTAATTATAATAATAATAATAACAACAATAACAATAATTGCATTCATATACTGCCTATCTATGCACTACAGCAAGCGGTATGCCCTTTACAACTATTCTTACCTTCAGCAGACCTTAGAACACCACTGACAAACATTTTTGGCTTCCCGTGAAGTATACAGGGCAAGCTGCAGATTAAATTCGCTCAGACACTAATAAACAGACAAGACATTTTGCTGTAAATAATGAGGCAAGATTCCGACCCTGTCTGTCAGGGTCAACCCGAGTTGAAATGGAAATAATATCCCAGCAGACTGAGATAATCAATAAAAATTCTGCCCACTTTGAAATCAACCCCGAGTGCAACAGTAAAGTGCCTAACAACTACACCACAGACACTGGTGAGTTGTGTTTATATGTTGTGTATGAGTGTGTGTGTATGTGTGCGCGCGTGTATGTGAGTGTCTCTCTTTATGTGTTCATGTGTGTGTGTGTGAGAGGGTCTATGCATGTGTGTGTGTGTGTGTGTGTGAGAGAGAGAACGTCTCTGTGTATGTGTGTGTATGACTAGTATGAGGGTCTGTGAGGGTCTGTGCGTGTATGTGTGCGCACGCATGTATGAGTGTCTCTCTTCATGTGTTCATGTGTGTGTGTGTGTGTGTGTGAGGGTCTATGCATATGTGTGTGTGTGAGAGAGTCTCTGTGTATGTGTGTGTACGATGGTCTGTGCGTGTGTGTGTGAGTGCGTGTCGCTCTTCATGTGTTTGTGTGTGTGTGTGTGTATGAGGGTCTGTGCGTGTGTGTGTGTGTGTGTGCGAGTGTGTCTCTCTTCATGAGTCCATGTGTGTGTGTGTGTGTGAAGGTCTCCCTTCGTGTGTTCATGTGTGTGTGTGTATGAGGGTCTATGTATGTGTGTGTGTGTGTGTGTGTGTGTGTGTGTGTGTGTGTGTGTGTGTGAGAGAGAGAGAATGAGTGTG